CCCATTCCCAGCACGAGCTTCGCTGTGGCAAGTAAATCATCATACCGCCTCCGATAAGAACCGTTGATGTGATTGGTGAGGAGAGCATCGGGATGTCTATCCGATCTCCACCCTGCAGGCGTCGTCGACTGCTTTGGAATGTCGGATGAGCCACCCGACACGGGCATCGTGCAAGGACTCGGTCATTCCACATTCCGCATAGTAAGAGACTTTCCAGTATCTTCTCCAACGCAACCTGGCTTCATCTCTTGTTGCAAAGTCTTACGCAACAAGAATCCCAGTTGTACGGCAGTGGATATGTCAACCCGTTGGCGTTGATCCACACATGGAATCAGCTCATGATGAATCCAGTTGATAAAGCGAGTGCTTGCCATTCATTCGTTCTCCAGTTCTCGATTACATGGAGTATTCTTCAAGTCTTGTTTCCAGTCCTCGGCCCTTTTCGACTCTCTGCAAAACTATCTATCATCGGGTCTGCCGATGCAGTATACAGCGCAAATTGGGATGCACAGCGGCCATCTCTCGTAGTTCATGCTACACAGCCGGGCTTCTCCCTGTGACAGGCTGCTCCCCTGGACCAAGTGGTCTCGTGCTCGGTCAACCCCACGATTTCCAGAGATGGGCTCCATACCTCTGCCCTTTGTACCGCCGTCGATCTTCCCCGCGATGATGCGTACCTCTTGTCTAATGCGACACTCTTGCCGGTATTACCAACGTTGGAGGCAAATCACTCTAGAAGTCTCAACTTCTGTGGGGTAAAACGCAGGCCATGCAACCCTGGAGCTGCGATATGAGCTTGTCGGCTATCTTCGGCGAGTCATTCTACCCCAGACAGACAGACACCATGTCCGATAAGCCGCCCCCCAAGAACGCTAGTGCCTTTTGGGCCGAGGTCCGTTTCCCCAAGCTTTGCCCATTCCATATATTCCATAAAGAAGAGAGGGCCCGCACGCATAGTCGTTGTCGGAACGCTGCTCCGACATATCGATACCCCCCCAAACTCAACCCGCGATAACTTGTAACGCCTTCACCGAGGGGAACGACATGAAGTTTTCGACTCGGCCCCGCGAGACCAGTTCGCCATGCCGCAACTAAGCCAAGGGCAATACAAAGTGACCAAAAAATGCCAAAAAGCGTGCGTGCGTGCGATGGGGGGAAAGGGGGTTCCGCCCTTCCCCCCGTGCCTTTTCCGACAGTCAGAATGAGAAGAGAATTAAGTTCCAGTAACTGACTTTTTATGTTATCGGACAAAAGATGCGAAAGATGTCGGGTGATGAAGGTCAAGTGCTCCGGCTCTCAGCCGTGCGCCCGTTGCGATAGGAAAAAGCACCGGTGCATCTTCGCCGCCGAGGATAAGCGGGTGTCGGTGCCGGAGAGGTGAGTTGTCGGAACGCCCAGGACAACAGGCTGCGTCTCAGCGCGCGCGGTGGTGATGATGGCGAAGAAGAAGAAGAACTAGAAAAAGAACGAAAAGCTGACACCGCCCCGTAGTTACCTACGTGAACTTCAGAACCGGAATACCGAGCAGGGTTCCGACCGCTCGACGAGGGCTTTGAGTCGGGGGGTCGATGTTGAGGATGTGCAGGGCCGGGCGTACGCAACGCCGCTTCACACCTCCACGGGCCGGAATGAGGACACGGCGAACCAGTTGGAAACACCAAGTAATGGTAACAACTACCGAACTTCCAGCCCGCGTATCAACAGAACGCTCTTGGCTTACAGACCCTTTGTAGACAGTCCAGTGGTGGGTGGCCCTGCCCCGTCAGACCCTGACAGTGAGGTGGACGACGGCCCTTCAACCCACAGAGACGAGGGTGAGATCGGACCAGGGTTTTGGCAGAACCCCCTCGTCGACAACGACTACACATTCGCCAAAGTGGGCGACCGGTATTGTGAGTAGAGCCCCCGTTCTCTCGTTGTTGGGACAAAGACGTGCTGATCCGGGGTTTTGGTAAGGGTACATGGGCCCGACCTCTTCGTGGTCCTTTTCCCGCAGGGTCCTGGCCCTGCTCGGGAAGCGCATGCCGGACGCGGCCCCAGACCCGTGGCATCTGCCGCACGAGGGCGCCTTCAGGATGCAGTGGACGCCCCTCAGCGCCGCCGAGACCCCCGACGTGTCCAACCTCCCGCCGCTCGATTACGCCATGTTCCTGCTCAACACGGCAAAGTTCTACCTCGGCGCCGTCTTCTACCTCATCGACGAGCCCTCCTTCCTGCGGCACATGCGCGAGCTGTACGAGGACCCGGCCCGCAAGGCCAGCTCCTCGAGGCTGTGGTACTCACAGTACCTGCTCATCCTGGCGTTCGGCAAGGCCTTTGTCGTCAGCAGCGGCCCGCAGGCGACGGCTCCCCCCGGGGTCCAGTACGCGACGCGGGCCATGGCGCTGCTCCCCGACCTGTCGGGCCTCAGCCCGGATTCCATCCACGCCATCCAAGCCCTTGCGTTGGCGGCGTTGTACTTCCAGTGCTTGGACATGAGGCTGGCAGCATATCAACATGTAGGAAGACCTCCCTTCCTTATAGTGTTCTAGACCCTCGAATGGATAGGCTGATATAGTCGCAGATCGGACAGGCGCTGCGGATCGGCATTGTTGAAGGCATTTACAGACACATGCCCGAAGAGGTTGTAGGCGCCGAATACTCGAGGCGCTGCAACATCGTCTTCTGGGTGGTGTACACCCTGGACAGGGAATTTTCCGCCCTCATGGGGGCGCCGACGTCGATCCGGGACGAGGACATCACCGTCAAGCTGCCTTCGAAAGTGGACGACTCGCTCGATGCGCTGAACATGACCCTGCATGTCCGGCTCTCACGCTTAATGGCTCGTATTCTCACGAGTAGGTTCTAGAGACGACACCCCCCCCCCTCTCTTGGCCTTGCTAATCCCGCGCCTCAGCTGTGTACGGTGTTGGAAAGGAGTTTGATGGCTCGCTTGTCCCAAACACCCAGTCCATCCTCAGAGACCTTGCGCGACTATCCCGAGACCTCACGGCGTTGCTCGACACCCACTTCCAAGGGTCCGTCAGCAGGGCATCGAGGATGGCACTGCGGCTGATCCTCTCCTACCATCACGTAAGTCCACTGGGCCGGCCACTCGAACTGGCAAAATGGCAAAGAAAAGTCGCTGACACCGGGTAGTGCGTGGTGCTGACGACCCGGCCGCTGGTCATGTGCGCTCTGCACATGCACATCGAGCATTCGGACATGCGGCAGTCCCAAACCGTCTCCCTGACGCCCCCCGTCGCCTCCCTGCTGCAGTCGTGCGTCGACTCGGCGCAGACGGTGCTCCGGACTCTCCGCGTCCTCGGCGACGAGGACCTCCTCGAGGCCTTCTTGCCCTTCCAGCTCGAGGACGCCTTCTCGTCGGCCTTCCTCCTCCACCTCGTCCGGGTCATCAGCCCGTCCCTCATACAGGACGACACCTGGTGTGAGAACATCACGAGCGTGCTGGACAAGATGATTTCGAAGGGCAGCCTGGTCGCGCCGCTGCGCAAGCTGGAGCTAAGCCGGCTCGAGCACATCATGTCGGCCCTGACGCCGCCCGCGGAGGAGCCGCCGACGCCGCCGCCGAGCAGCAGCGCGAACCCGCACCAGCATCATCACCATCACCACCACCACCACCACCACGGGCACGAGCAGGGGTCGTCGTTTCTGGACCAGATGGAGGAGGCGGGGTGGGACATTTTCGATACGGGGTGCATGGGCGGTCTCTCGCCGCAGGCGTTGCTGGACCTGGCGGAGCGGCTGGACGTGGAGGATCTGATCCAGTCCGTCGATCCCGAGGGAGATCACAGAAGATGAATCAGAATAAAGTCAGGATGGTTAAATGAGGACGGTCGTCGTGTACTATAATAAGCGCCGCTGCGTACATGCATTGTCACGATTTCATTCTAGCTGATCAAATGAGGCCCTCGTGGGTGGACAAAACTACAAAGACTCCCGCACGGCAGACTTGAACTGCATCATGCATCGGCATCAGCATCCCGCTTGCGAAGAAGAAAGCTCACCCCGGCTTGTGGGCATGGCTCGTTGACTTACCGGAATGACTTGAGCCTTCTCGAGATCCCACACATCGTTCTTGGCATAGGCGTCGTTCCTGATGAGCTCCCAGGCCTCCTCGGCGTCCTTGACCGTGTAGATGATGACGCTGCCCTTGAAGCTAGGTGTCTGTCCCTCGGCCGGGTGCTCCCCGAGCATAGCGCCTGCACCCCATGCACCATTCTGGTCAGACTGACAATCCCGCGCGAGAGGGTAAGGATTGGGGGGGACGTACCACCAAGAGCTACCTTTCTATTGCCAGCTTGAGCCTGAGCACCGGCCAGATGCGCACTTCATCGCGTCAGCCTCATCGCAGGGCACTGTCATACGGGGGAGGGCTTCATCTTTCTCAACAGCAAGGCGGGGCTTCCACTCACGGTCTGACCTCCAGCCGCCGCGCGAGCGCGTCCGGCTTATCCGGGAGGATGCACAAGAACTCCTTTGCACTGGTGGCCATCGTGCGGTATCTGAGGATGAACGGCGAGGTCTGGCTGACGACGCGGGGTAAGTTTCTGGCTGTGGGGATGAAGCTGTTCCTCAAGACACGTGCGGGGATGGACATTGTGGGTTTTGGATGGGATGACGGGACTGCGGAGGCCCTTCGATTGTCTCTCGGAAGTCTGTCGATTACCCTGTCGTATAACCGAATCGTACGTAAGCAGAGACGAGTAAGTAGGTGGCAATGAGGGAGCGGCACGACATCGGAGGAGAGGCGAAACACGGAGCCCGATCGAGTAGCTCCGATGCCGGAATAGAGTGCCGAGAGTAGCCGGCAGAGCAATGGTGCTCGGGGTTCTGCTCAGTACTCCTCATGGCTTGTGCCACCAAAAGATCATATATACACTGACTTCAAAGAGAATTAATGGATATGTAACAAGCAAAGCTTCTTACCGCAACTACAGTCTCAGATACCAAAGATTCGCCCCTAGAGAAAAAAGTAAAAAAAAAAAAAAAAAAAAACGAGGTCGTGCCCGGGCTCGAACCGGGGTTGCCGGAAGACATTTGATGGCTAGCGATCAAAATCCGGCTCGATGGGAGTCAGTACGTGATGAATGCCAGAGTTGCTTCTCCGAGAACTTACAGTGATAACCACTACACTACACAACCGTGTGTGTGTGTGCTCGCAGAGTGGAGGCACGCGATGGCCCAGTCATGCACGAATCCACCTTAACACTACTCTGTATTAGTTCCGCGCGATCGCCTCGGCTTTTGCCAGATACGCGTTACCCTCGCGTCGACAGGGTTGCGGAGAGGGCCGCCATCTGAGACAAGCCAGCCATCACTCGGATTCTCTAATGTTTCTGTGGTGAGCTTGTCTTGGGTAACATGTACGTGACATTTGCTGTTTAAAGAAAGGTATATATACAATAGCCGGCTTGCCTATCGCTTAAACGATGCCATTCTGCAACGACGTGTCCACGGTGAACTGATACTCGGTCCGTCCGTGCAGCGCAATGCTCTTGTTCCCGTACACGAACTGCCCCTGCGTGTCGATAGGAGCCCGAATGGTGACCCCGATCTGATCACCATCCTTCCGCCACTCGACGCCGAGCTCCCCGTCGAACGCCGTGACGACGCTCGCGCTCACCTGCTTCAGCCCCAGCGCCACCCCGGACGCCGGCGCGACGACCCAGTTTCTGTACCCGAACCCGTCGGTCCCCTCGGCGGCCCGCAGGCCCGCCGCCCACTCCGTCAACGCGTACGTCGGGGCGCCGCCCCATGGGTGGCTGAGACTCGTGTACAGGTACAGGCCGGGCTGCCGCGTCGCCGAGTTGACGTACTCCCAGCTCGCGCCGACTGCGCTCTTGTTCTGCGCCTCGTCGACGCCGGGGAGCATCGCGCCCCAGAGGCCGCGCATCAGCTCGTCGGCCGCTCCCGTGGCGTTGCCCGCAAAGAGCGCCGAGAGGAGGAACCCGTTGGTGTTGGGCGAGATGTTGACGCTGCTGTCGTCGGAAGACACCGTCGAGTCGTCCTTGTAGCCCGGGCCGAGCTTCAGGCCGGACAGCACCGCGGCGATGGAGCGCGCGGTGCGGTCCGCGTCCGCCACGCCCGAGGTGATGCAGAACGCCGTCGCCGCCACCGAGATGTTGCCGGTGTCCGCGAGCGAGAGGCCGTACGCGCCCGTGTCCTCGTTCCACAGCTTCTCGTTGATGGCGTCCGCCAGCGACTCCGCGGCCTCGCGGTACCGCGTCGCCGACGCCGCGTCGTCGAGGGCGGCGGCCACGTCCGCGACGCCCTGGAGCGCCTGGACGGCCTCGCACCCGATCGCGGACCCGGCGTCCGCCGCCCCGGTGAAGGCGAACCCGTTCGCGAACGTCAGCAGGCCCGTCGTCGGGTCGATCTGCGGGAGAAGCCACTCGACGACCCTCTGCCACCGCGGCCACGTCGCGTTCGCCCACTCGAGGTCGTTGTGCAGCCGCACGTGGCTGGCGAACGCCATCAGCCCCAGGAGCTGGTAGTCCTGCAGCCCGAAGCCGCTGCCGTCCTGCGGCGCCAGCGCGTCCGCGTCGGCGGCCAGGTCGTACCCGAGGTTGGGGCTGATGTTCATCTGGCCGTTGGCGATCTGCGAGTCGATGAGGTGCTGCAGCGTCCCGCGCGAGTGGTCCGCCCGCGACGTGCTGGCGGCGATGATGCGCGCCGTGTGGTAGAAGTCGCCGAGCCAGATGAGCCTGTCGCGCTTGGGCCCGTCGAGGCACGCGCTGCCCGTGTTCGCCTGGGTCCCGTACTCGACGAGGACGTCCGGGCTGGTGAGGTTGTTGGCGTAGATTGTCGAGCCGTTGGCTGTGTCGTAGACGTGCGCGTTTTTGAAGTAGGCGGCCTGGTCCTGGTACGCGCCGAAACCGATGGTGCCGCCGAAGTCGGGGGAGCCCGCGTACGACAGGGCGCCTCCGCTGCTGAGGGCCCACGGGTAGTCGGATCGCGAGATGTTGAACACCTGCGTGTCGTCGATGGAGACGGCGAGGTGGCCCGAGGGAGCCATGGATGCCGTGATGTGGTACCACGTGTTCTCCTTCACGTTGAAGGGGACCTCAAAGACGTCGACCAGGAAATTCGTCAGCGTTGTCTGGTTCACAAAGTCGGTTCCGTAAGCCAGAGAGATTGTGTTTGCCGGTGTCAACGTCGTGTTAGCGTTGGCGAAGCGTGTGGTCTCGGGTAGCTCACCGGTGAGCATCATCATGTATCCGTACCCGGCCACAATACCTCCCTAGACGTGGTCATTAGTTGTGCATTTTCGCGGATTTTAAGCGGGGAGGGAGGGGGGGGAGAGTTCAGTCTTACGGTCATGAACCAGCTTCCACCTCTTTGGATCTTGGTATCAAACTCCAGTGTGTAGTTGCTCCAATTCAAGCCCTTGTACGTCGCGGCCGGCCGCATGCTGCGGGCCAACACGCCATCCTCCTCGCTCACTTCCCATATGGCTTTCTGTGTGCCCTTGTCGAAGCACGCGGCCGTCGCCGCTCTGGCGCCGAGCTTCCAGATCTCGTTCAAGGTCTCGTCGTTGCTGCTGAACTGCCCCGGGAGGTCCTCCGGCTCGGCCGTGGCAATGGACGCCGCGAAGCCTACGCTCGAGAATCCCACCGTGCCGTTGGTCAAGAGCCTGATGGACTGCCATTTCAGGCCGCCTTGGAGCAGCGGGGATGCGAGGCGGCCGGTGGCCGCGACGTCGAACGTCTCGACGCGGAAGTTGTTGGCCAGCATGTTGGCGAAAGTGAACGGCCCGTCGCCGAAAGGGTGGTTCAGCCCGTCAAAGTGCTCCGTGTACTTGACCTCGATCTGCGCCGGGGCGCTGAGGGAGGTGACGTCGAACATCGGATAGCCCGCCCTCTCAGCTCCATAGTCGAGGGTAGCTATCGGAGTGTCCGGGCTGAGCGTGAAGGATGAGAAGGGCTGAGTCTGCAGCTGGACTGCGTTGCCAGTGGCTACGCCTTTTGCGGTGAAGATACTGTACGAAAGAAGCATTAGACTGCGCAACTGATTTCGGGTGCCGGAAGGGACGGATCTTCGTACTTGGCATTGGTTGCATCACTCGTCGGTACAGCTGTGACAGCTCCGGTCGCAAAGACGAGTAGGAGGCAGAGAAACTCCATGGCTGGCGTCGTGCAGGTGCTTGGGTCTGCGAGATATGGAAAGACGCGTGTCCCAGAAAACCGAAGATTTTGACCAGCAGCTCAGCTCAGCCTTCAGTACTTATATTAACAAGACCTTGGTCGTAGTAGGTCAATCTCCCCAGGTAGCATTGGTGTTTCGGGATATTAATCGCCGAATGGCCTCGTGAATGACGAAGAGGCTGGACACTAGCCAGGATCACGTTCCCACGAAGAGGAACAGAGTAGCATTACCCCGGACTGGATGCTACCCGGGTCCTTGGATGACTCGGCAGTGGGTGTTTGTTTGTTGGGGAAGACGCGGGGAAGCCGTCGAGACTCGCAAGAAGCCGCACTTCCCGAGCCGAACCGAAGTTTGAACATTTCGATCGGCATCCATAGAGAATGTGTGCTGCGGTTCTCGAGTAAAAACCGGCTTGTCGTCTCGGAGATTGTTGTCAGTTTTAGCCAAGCACTAGATTCGATGCCAACGAGTATGTAGTTGTTTGGACGAACTCCTTGCTGGTGACTTTGTGTGTTGTCAATAATGCCAGGGATATGCCTCCCTGACGATAAAGTCAAAAGAAAAGACAAATAAAGTTCATATTGCGCGTAAGGTATCATCAACAACTGTCACCATCCATCCTTCCCGGACCAAAGCTTCTTCGTGTCGGCCACCCGGACACCAAGCTAATCCTTCTGGTCATTCTTCTTCTCGTCCAAGCAGATGCACAAGGCACACATGAGGGCCATGTCGACCCCAGGCGCCACGGTGAGGGCGTACGTCTGCTTGCCCCCGAACAAGTCACGCGCACGCAACATGTTGCGGTCAATCCTGCCGAGAACCTGGCCGGTGCTCGTATCGATAATGTCGGCCTGCGTCGATAGCCAGTTGCCCTTCATCTCGAGAGTTTCGCTCTTGCCGGTATGCGGGGACACAAAAGTGGCCGTCGCCTTGGATCCTATGACTATTACCTGGCGTCAGCTGCCTTGCCACTCCCTCCCTGCACTGAACGACGCTTAAGAAATAGCAGATACTCACGCGCAAGGCTGCTCTTGACTTCCATAATCTTGTTACCCTGTGGGTCCTGCGCCGCGAAGGTGGTGTGCAGGTGGAGATGCTCCTTGACGATGTCGAAGAGGTGGTTCCCCGACATGTCGTAGACGGACTTGCGCCCGGAGATGGACAGCGCTTTGCCCTGCACCTTGAGGATGGGCTGCCCGTTTGTGAGCTTGATGTCGAAGCTGTCGCCGGTGAGGGACAGCATCTTTTCCTTGAGGATGAGCGTCTCGCTCTGTCGCGCCGTCAATTGCGGGAAGATGCCGACGGAATTCCCCGCCTGGGGGAGCTGGTGCACTGCCGGCGCGGCCGCCATTTTGACGCCGGGAATAGCTGGAACGTTGATCGTTTGGCGGTTTGGTCGCCCTGTGTCGTCGCGGATTATGTTCCGCGAGGTGTTTGCAGAGATGCTGTTGGTTACGGATATGCTGCTGCTGCTGCTGCAAGGCCTAGAAAAGAGGAATGAGGTAACGAAGAACGGAACATGACGATATTTGGGGACTTCAGCTGTTTTTCAAGTGAGATGCGCATACACGTGAAATACGAGCCCTGCAAGATGGCGCCTGTCAAATCTGCTCAATATCCGAAACTCTGCCTACCTAACGTATGCGGCTGAGGAGGCTGAGTCCAGCGCCACCGCTCCAGTCAACTCTTCTGGGCGTCAGCTTGAAGAGTGAGACGCCGCAAATGAGAAGAGACGAGGGGCTGAGCGTCAGGAGCTCGAGGTCAGCTTATGCTTGCGGTGACGTAGACCGACCAAAGAATGTGCGGGGAGGGAGGGGGGGGCAGGACACCTTTTTTGCCATTGGCATCTCCAAGGAATGGAATGGGGAAAGTCTTAACCTAATTTAGCATGACTTACGGGTTCAGCTTGCTAGGCACTTTTGTTTAAGACGTTCATCATTCTGTGTTAATTCGTGGTCTACTTGTCGAGACTTTATCCCCCTGCCCCCTAACCTCTG